GTGTGTGTGTGTGTGTGTGTGTATACACACACACATACACACACGCACACACATATATATATATATATATAAACATTTCTAGCAAAATCCTAAATATTTTATGGAAATGACATGGCTGCCTTTTCAAAGAGCTTGTCTTAGTCTTAAAAGCAGTCATTTGCATCTCTAAAAGGAGGACATTAATGGAAATAACTGGGCCCATACACATTTGGCTTTGAGAATTCAGCTTAGTATATGGCTTAAAATTCCCTGCCTCTTGGATTTATAGTCAAGCCTCATTAATTCAAACTTAAAGTACCAAATCTTATTTTATTCCAAGTTACACTTAATGCTCTATTAATCTTTTTTTAACTATTTTTTATCTGTCAACTCATACTTATCTTTAAGACATTTTTCCCCACCATAAAGCTGATTTGAAATTTTATTGTAACTTTTTAGATATCCACAACTTCCAGAAATAAAAAAGAGCAAAATAAATTCTTAGTAAAATTAGTACATTCTTAATAAAAATGGAAACAAAGTATGTGAGGGATGAATTTTTTTCTTTTCCTTCAAATATACTTTCCAAATGCCCTTTTGTCCACTTCCTTGACAATACAGCTAAGTCAATTTAATCCTGTGACTAACAGGAATGAAATACCATACGATTATGTCAAATAGCAAGAATTCAGAAAATGTAAACATTTAAACTCTTTTGTCAAAACACTACAAATATTGCTAGTTGTCTCACTAAGTGCTTAATTCTGAAACATGTAAAAATGCAGAATTATGATTGAGTAGTGAAATCACTTTGCAGAAGTTAAGGAAGTTATTACAACAGTCACCTTATTCACCCATCTGCAAATTCACCTGTGGAACCTGCAGCGAAGTAAGCCAGTTCAAAACTACAAATATGAAGTTCAATTCACAATTACAATGGCATATTTTGTAAATGGCAGTGCCTTCATGTGTGCAAATAACCCTTAAACTCAGATTTACACAGGTAATATTTGGAAGCATACTTTAAAAAAAATCTTTGGCACACATAAGACAATACTGGTTTTCAAGTAAACTAGTAAGAGATTAGATGGAAGGGAAAATTCTTCCACGTGCCTCGGGAAATGTCTGCGTCTCTAAATTTCTAATATCCTATAATCTATTCCATCTAAAAAATTAAGCAGGTGAGTTCAAATATGAAACTTAATCTGTCATTTTAGTCAGCCTAAGTCCCAAAATAAATTTAACAGTAGTCAATGAAACATGAGAGGCTATACTAAGAATGTCAATCTAAAACATTTTCTAAGTACAGCTTTTAGAATTGAGTTTTTATACATACTACTTTTCAAAATTAGCTTACATTTTCTGAATGCTTCCTGATTAGCCTGCACCCAATTTGTATGGATGCAAGAGGTTACAACCACATTTTAAACTAGCATTGTACAGTGTGAAGCATAAAATTTGCATATATGCAGCACTAATATTTATCCCCAAACATCACAAGTATACTCACACATAATAACACAAGTAGCCTTTGTGGGGCCCCTCTCAAAGTTGCCTTGTGGATCAGCTAGCAAAAGGCTTTACAGATAGGAGGAGAACGGAATTTCAGCTATCACTGCTTTGCCCAGCTTCATTTCCACAGGCTTAGGTCACAAGAATACCCCCTACCCTCACTGGGCTAAAGGCTTATGTACATTTTTTTTATGAAGTGAACCTGTCTGCTTCTTTTCTACCAAGTGTCAACTCCACAATAAGAGCACTCCAAGTCTTGAACAGTATTTTACACAAAGAAACAATCTGTTTTCCTATTTACAGTGTCAGTTATTAACTTCTTAAATTATGCTGACATCAAAAGAAATGGAGAAAGATATGTCCTCAATGTACATGAGATGCCATCGGCAAATGGAAGTTAATTTTAATCACTGATGCCTTGTTCAGATTCAGTGAGCACCTTAGAGGCAACCTCCTTTTATAATATCTAGTATAATGTCCTAGAAAGTTAGAAATGTAGCCTATTACTAATGCATTATCAGCTATATAGGAAACAGCCCTTTTAGTTTTGCTTGGAAAGGAACTGACTATGAAACTTGGCAGATTTGAATGACTAAAATCCAATTTCAAGGTAAGAAATGATTCCACAAAGTTTAGATTCCCCAGTGTAAAAATGTAAAACATCTCACTAGCAGCACTGTTGTATGTTTATCTGGAATAACGGTCACATTATCTACTTTAGTACTATAAGGCTTCTCTCAGGATTACACCACTAACGGCTTAAGAAAACATTTAATTTCAATTATACCAGAGTTAAATTCTGGTAAATAAGATCTTTGTATAATAAGGAACAAAATCATATGCTTTAAAATTCTCTTGAAGTATACAGCATTATCTATTCACTCTTGTGTCTTAATGTACTAATGAAGGGAATGTGAGAAAATAGAAAAAGATCTTGATAAAGTTACCAAGTCCTTATCAGATGTTATCTGTAATTATCACAGAGGCTTGTAGAGGGGCTAGAGAATAACAAACATTACACATGCAGATGAAAACCTGGGTGCTATAAACAAACAAACAAAAAAAAAACGGCCCAAAACAAGAGTAAGAAGATGAGAAAAGTGTTTGGTTTTTTCCATAGCAAGAAATAATCATCCTTCAGTGCCATGAAGAATGTGACAAGAAGCAAAAAATCCACTGAGTAAAATGTCTTGATGATAAAACTTAAATAACAAGCTGCTTCTCTTAGCTAAGGCAAAAAGCAGGCTACCAAGCTAAAATTGTACATAGGAGATGGCCTCTAATTTGACTTGCGGATCCCATCTTATATAAAGACTAGTGACTTGTTTCTTACAATAAGGACATGTTCCTCAAATAAGCACCAATACGGTTAAAAGTCCTTCAGAATCAAACAACTGTGATAGAACTAAGGGCCTACTAAAACTAAGAATTGAGCATGTGATAAAGTCAAGAAAGTTATCTTCCTTCAGGAGTTCAGAGTTTCACTACTTGAAAATGGATTCTCTTGGCACTAGTGACTAAAGAATATACAGAGTTCACAGGGAAGAAAGAGGTGAGAGAAGCATTCTGCCACAAAAGTCATCCAAGATAAATTCAAAAGCCCATTGGAACTTAAACATTTATAATATCAGTATGCTAAAACAATCTCCCATTGTCCATTAAATATCACACTTATATTTTCAAAGAACATCCTCACTAAGACACATCAAAATGAAACATTTCCCCACCAAATATGCCAAAAATTAGATTTTGTTTTATTGCATGACGTTGCATAAGAATATTATTAAAAACTGTAAGGCATCATGCAATTAATAAGCTAATTATTATTGTACCTTAAAGACAGGTGGTTATATAGTCTAAATTTATAAAACCAGTTCCAAAAAAGTACATAAAAAATTTAACATGATGAGCATTAAATACCATTCACATATCTGTAGTTTTTAACTGTTAAAAAGTGCATTCAAACATACTGGACTGGAAAGTCACTCTGTCCAAAAATGGTGCCGGGTGCAAATGTCAAATTATAAATTGTAAAAGAACATAAATTATTTTATAGGATTAGAAAGCTAACAATGTGATATCCAAACTTGCCTGAAATCAGTTTTCAATCCTCACACTCACAATTAATAGTTTATATAATATTAATGATCTAAAAAACTTATCTTTTATAACCAACAAAAGTCTATTGAATTCAAGTCATGTATGCTGAGTGATCAAATAACTGAGCAGACTTAGTATTCAGACAAAGACAGATGTGGATTTGGCATTAATCGATGTACTGTGCCACCCAACGAAAGCCTTCACCATAGCCTTGTCTCTTTAGCACACTGCACATGAAGACTTCTAAAGGTCTGGCATTTAACTCTTTCATTGAAACACTTCCCTAGAAGAGAAAAATAAACATTAAGTTGAAATAATCTTGACAAAATAGTGGCACTATGCAACAAAGTGAATATTCTTAATGCATTTAAAAAAAACACTGGAGAAAAAAAAAATCAGTGCTTTCTTACATCTTCATTTCTAAACGTAGATAATATTCCTTTCAAATGTAAGTAGGTGTTACATTTCAGTCCCCTATGGCATAGTGAAACCAACTGATAGAACAAAGAGCCATACAAGAATTAAAAGTATGACTTTTTAAAAAATTGCACCTTACCCACCTCCAGAGAGGTGAGAAACTCAAGGTGAAGAATGAGACATTTTTTTTGGACATGGCCAGTGCAGGAATTTATTCTGCTTGTCTCTGCATTTTTGTTACAAGGGTTGTCTTTTTCTTTTTCAAGGGAGTGGTGATGAAAGGGAGAAAAAACATTTTTGTAAAAACAAATTTAACTTAATTTAAAATAGAATAAAATGAATAGAATAAATAAATAAATAAATAGAATAAAAAGCATAATCTAAAATAAAATAGAATAAAATGAAATAAAAAGCATAACAAATAAAGTCAGTGGACCTGGAATTACCAGCATTCTAAGAACTACATAAGAATTACATTACATTACACTATATTACTGCATACCTGAAAGTCCTCAGACTTTCTCCACAATGCCAAAGAAACCTCTCCATCCAGAAAATTCTTTCAACCCCTGGATTTCTCATACTTGAAATATCCTCCCTCTAATGAACTGATTCCTCCCAGAACTTCCTTTTTAGGGCTATCCAGGCCAGCCATGTCTTTATTACTCTCCAAGCTGCTCTCTGGCTCCACAGCTTTTCTCTACAATGCCCCCTCCTGCGGTACCTTCATTCCCACATACCCCCTCCTCCTTTTTGAGCTTCCTTTTATTTGCTGTCTTCATCACAGAACATAAGTACTTCAGAGCAAGTCTTTCTTTCTTGTTTGCATTTGTATCCTTACTGCTTAGCACAGTGCCTGGCATGTAGTAAGCACTTAATAAATGCTTGTTTGTCTTGACTTGAGAATACTTTATAAAAACTGTCAGAAAGCTCACTGCTCTTAACAAAAACAGACTGCATTACAGATCGATGGCAATCCATGATGGTTTCCTCAATTCTCTACCCTTCTTCCTCTAATTTCACCTCTCCCCTCCCCCCCCATCCCTCCCACAACTTAGAAAAGCTCTCTCCCTCTTTGACTCTCAGGACACCCTTTTGCCCTCTGATATGTACCTAAATACTACAGCATGTATAAGGGTTATTTACATGTCTTTATCTCCCTTACTAAACTAAGTTTCTTGAAAGCAGGGGCTATATTGTGTTTTCAATCTATCTATAGCACCTAGGGTGGATATCATAGGGCAAATGAATATTTTTAAAACTGAATTTCCTGGATGAAAAAAATTGAAATATATGGTGTTTAACATAATACATATATTATAATGTTACAGTAGTTCTTTACCCTAAGAAACTTTACACATAAAAGAAACTTTATTAATAACTCAGTGGGAAAGGACGCTTCCTCCATTAACTCTTCAAGTACTGAATTTTTCTTAATGGTATTGAGCCCAGTAATATACACTGATAATACTGGAAACATCTCAAAACACACTAAAAATTAAGGTTGTAAGACCATAGCCCAAATTATCAGATTTCATGGAGATTTTTTTTTTTTGTTTTAAGTTTCATTTATTCCAAATTTCACTTATAAAAAGTAAAATGTAGAAAAATGATCTAAAGATGATCTTCTTTGGTGGTAGAATATAAACTAAAAGTCTGGACCCCAGTAAAACATAAGGTTCTTGAGGACAGGAACTGCTAAAAAAATTTGTCTGCCTAATAAACAACTGTTGAATTGAATTACCATAGGTGACAGGTTTTCAGTGAGTTAAGAAACAACTAAATGAAGGTCTTTATGCAGTTGGACAATACTAATTAAGATAATATTTATACAGCAGAGAATTAGAAAACTCTAAGTTGATATGAGAAAAAAATAATTACCTTTCCTGTTGTTTGACCATACAGACCAAACACCTCTCGTAACCGCTCTTCACTAATGGCTTCAGGTCTGTCGATCTTATTTCCAAGAATTAGGATAGGCACATTAGCTATTGTTTCATCTGTCATAAGAGACTGCAAAGAAATAGGAAGTCCATGTTGTGATAGGGCTATCATAAAGTGTTTAATCTACTAGAATTCTGAAGTAGCCAAGCCCTTACATTAAAAGGCAACCCAGTCATCTTTATTTAGTCAACCCATGCCCATATCTCAGTTAACTAAAAGATTCTGTGAAAAGAATTTCCTCTATCAATGCCTTTTCATTGAATCCTCTACCTCTGGCTTCCTCTCAACTTTACTCTGCCTCCCCAAGACTACTATATTTAGTCATAATGTTGGAAATGGAAAGAAACTTAAGAGTCCAGCTAGTTTAATCCCTTCATTTTACAGGTGGGGAAAATGGAGTACAGAGAGTGGAAGAGATTTTCTTATGTTACATGCAACTGATAGCTAAACTATAATATAGTATACTAACAGTTTGCAAAGGTCTTTACATAAGTTAACCCATTTGATTCTCACAATAATTTTACAAAAATATGCAAGTCAGAAATAATTACACCTATTGTAATCACATAGACACATAGGCCACCTTGCACTGAAAACTATCCTACCTGACCCTTTCCATGTGCACAAATGCCTAGTAAACCTTATGTCTGTGTTCCATTACTAAGTCAGAATACCCCAGGCCTAGAACTACATCAGTGTGCTGCATTAATTGAGGAAGTAAACCCTGAGACATCATGGCCATCTGTAATATAGAACTAGAAATGCCCTTGAATTATTTCTCTTAGGAATTTAAAATAATGGAAGTGATACCTCTTCACAACCTAACCACCATCTCAAGAAATAACAAAATGATTTAGTTCTAAGATTGGCAAGGCACTCGATGAAATGACCAGCTCTTCCAATCTTGAGAATAATACCTAACAGTTTATCTTCAGAAATAAAAGTACCATGGCCAACGACCAATACTGCTCTCTCCCTTAAAAGTAGGAGAAAAATAGCCTCTCGGTCACAGGAATTATTAAATGGTTTCATCCCAGAGTATGTATGCTAACACCTGACCTGTCAATCATTTCTTTATTTGCTTTTGCCTAGTTATTTATGTTTGGACAAGGAACTTACATCAAGTTCTTCTTTTGATTCTAACAGGCGTTCATGGTCTGCACAATCCACCAGAAAAACAATGCCATTTATGGCAGGCAGATAGTTTTTCCACACTCTTCGAGCTAATGAAAACAATAAGGAATTAGACATGGCTGTCTAAATTTATAATATGATTGCAGGAAAACTCAAACAAAAATACATCTAAGGGTAAATGTCACCTAGTTACTATTATATATGGCTACTATATATAAAAAATTATAAATATGATTTTATGGTCTGAGCAATAAAACACTGTACAAGGACGCAGGAAACATTCATTCAAACTCTAGTTCTGTCCAAGACCATTGGTAAAGTCTTAACTTCTCATTTTCTCCACTTGTAAAGTGGAGCTAATTTTTTTGCTAATAATTACTTTAAATATGTTTTAAAGATAAGAGACCATCCACATATTTGAGCTCATGGAAGGAAAATCTCTCTAAAAAATTTAAAGAGCTTAAAATGTTCACTTACCAATTCATCTCTTAATGGTGAAAAATTTTACACCAATAATGGGAAGAAACTAAGGAAAGATAGTTTTCTTCATTCAATTTAATAAACTTTTATTAAGCACCTACTAAAGGCACTAGATACAAAAAATAAGATAAAAACAAAGCAGCTTTTGGCCCTAAAGAAGTTTATATTGTACTAAGAAATATAATATGTAGACAGATAAGTAAACACAAGGTAATTTGAGGAGGGAGAGAACATTAACAAGTGGTTCAGATTAGGATGGACATAGGAATGAAAGCTTCATGGAAGATGTGGCATCCGAGCCGAGGTTTGAAGGAAAAAAGAGAGATTCTGAAAGATGGAGAGAAATATGGATGCCAAGTACCAGGCGCAGACTATATGAATATATAGAAGGAGGCAAAACATCAACTTCATGGAAGTAGTGCAGTTAGGCTGAAAGGTAGAACACAAGTGAAGTAAGAACAAATGAAGCCAGAAAGGTAGATTGGAACTAAATTATGGGAGACTATAAAGGCCAACCTGAAGAGTCTGAAGGGTTCCAGTTAGCACTGATGCCAAGCAGTGTTCTCTCTTTTCTCTCCCCATTCCTACCTTAACTAATCTTTTTGCCTCCAGTCTCTTTCTTATCCAACCCATCCCCCACAGAACAACCAAACTGAAATTCCTAAAATGAAAGTCTGAAGGGGCTTGAGCTTCAGTGGTTCCCCAATGGCTCTAGTATAAACACAAATATAAATTCTTCACCTTAGCATTTAAAGAGCTTCATAATCTAGCTCTAATCCATCTTTTCAAATTGATTTTATACTCCTCTTTGTGCACTCCACATTGCTATCAAAGTAGACTGCTGGCTGGTTCCCATACACTCTATACATTTCTGCCTTTGAATTGGCTGCTCCACAAACATGGAATGCTCTTTCTCCTAATCTCTGCCTCAGAGATCACTACATTCTTTCACAACACAGCTCAAGTGCCACCTCCTACAGGAGGCCTATCCTGATCTCCCACTCCTCCCCATTCCCAATTACTTTGCATTTACTCTGTATGCATTTAACTGTGTAGATGTTATACCCTATCTCTCCAGATAATGTAAACTCCTTGAGGGCAGGGACTTGTTTTTGCCTTTCTTTGAATCCTCAATATTTAAGAGTACCTGGCACTGGGGCAGCTAGGTGGCGCAGTAGATACAGCACTGGAGCTGGAGTCAGGAGAACCTGAGTTCAAATCCGACCTCAGATACATAATACTTCCTAGCTGTATGACTCTGGTCAAGTCATTTAACCCCAACTGCCTCACTTTAAAAAAAAAAAAAAAGAGTGCCTGGCACTTACTAAATGCTTACTGAACAAACTGTGGGGTAAGAAGTCAGGTTTCAAGAGGCTTCGGAATAGGTGGTGATAAAGCAGAAGCAATAAGTATAGGGGATTCTTTTAGGAGTCTGGTAAGTAAAGTGAGGAGATATATGACAATAAATTGAGGGGATAACAGGGTAAATAGATTCTTTTTTACTGATATAGTCAAGTGAAGATTTGGATTTTTTTAAGGCTGGAGAAGAGCTAGACATGTTTACAGGTAGAAGGGAAGGTGCCTATAGATAGGAAGAGGAGAGAGGGATGAGTGATAGGATGAGCTACCTCCTAGAAGAGACAAGAGGTGATAGAATCAAGAGCACAAGAGGGGTTGGTCTTGTCAAGGAAACTAGCTACCTCTTCCTCAGATACTGGAATAAAGGAAAAGTTAATGGGAGGGTTTTGAAGTATAGAACAGGGAAGATAAGGAAGCTCAGGACAGACGGTCTTGATTTTCTTCATCAAGTAGGGGGTAATGTCATCTGAGAAAGGAGGTTAACAGATCTTAGGAAGTATGAAGAAAGAGGAGAAAGTCTAGAACAGTACTTAGTAGAGTGTGACAGAGAAACAATCAAGGAAGAATAAACCTGATGTGCAGTATAGTGGGTTCAGTTGAAATTAGATAATATAAATTTTTAACAGAACACAGTGTATTGTGAGACTTCTTCTATTAGAGTTCAGCAGCACAGGAACAGGAATGGAAAAGAGAGATAGAGGTGAGCCAAAGGGAAGGGAACAAGCTTGTATTAAGAGCCCAGTATATGCTAAGCACATTACAAATATCATCTCATTTGATCCTCACAACAACCCCCATGAGGTAAGTACTATTATTATCCCTATTTTGCAGTTGAGGAAACTGAGGCAAATAAGGGTTATGTGACACGCCTAGCATCACACAGCTAATAAGTGTCTGAGGCCAGATTTGAATTCAGGTCTTCCTGAATCCACTGCACCAGCAAAGAAGGCAAAAGATTCATGGATGAAAGATAGTTGAATTTTTTATTTACAAGTTTAATCTGGGAGAAAAGATGGAGGTGGAGGTCTCAGTAAAGACAAAGAACAGGTTTAGGAGAAGTAAGACAAAGAAGAGATAGAAGAACAGGAAATTATTATGAGAAGGGATTTTCATAATTTAAGATCATAAAGATAGAACAGGACAGCGATAGTGAGATTAAGACAAAACAACCTCAACAAGTGGCTAAGGTAGAATGAGAAGTTGAGGAAGTCGATGAACTAGAAAACCAGAGTGTTTGAGGGCCATCAACATGTATAATGAAAAAAAAAAACAAACCCACACCACGTATAATGAAGACTCCAAGTACAAGTGAAGTAGGAAGAAAGACTGGGTAGTGAACATCTTAAGAAAGACAAAGTAACCAGAGATCTGCAGATTTCAGGAATAAGGAACTGAACCAAATGATAAAAATAAATGGAGCAAACCTCAAATGACCTAATAGTTGTTGAGAGAGGACAAGAAAAAGAAGATCAAAAAGTGACAATGGCAACAAGACTGCTGATTCCTCCTCCTGGTCCAATGTTTGGAAAGAGAACGTGGCATGGGGGAATGTGTAGATGAAAAAAGAAGCAACAAGAACTGCAGGGAGATGGTGGCCAGTGATGAAGTGTCTCCTGGAGAGAGCCAAGCTTTCATAAATTCAAGAAGATAATAATAGGAATCATGAGCATTTTTCCTGTCCTTTAAGGTTTGCAAAGCACTTTTACATTTATTATCTCACCTAATCCTCACAACTCTTAGAGGTAAATAAATGTTAAGAGTATTAACTATTTTACCCCTATTTTACAGATGAGAAAACTGAGCCTAAGAGACAATGCCCAGGGTCACACAGCAACTATCTTGAAGTGAGAGTCAGACCTAACTTTTCTTGTATCTAAATATAGCACTGAATGGTAAGATTATGTCAGGATTAAAAGAGGGGTTCCAAGGAGCACAATAAAAGTGGAGGACTAGGACAAAAAGGACTTTGGAGCAGTAGTACTGAACTGAGTATGGATGAGGATGCAGGGAGAGATGGGAGGGGAAGAAGATTTTCACCTCAGAAGGCTATGAATCTCTATAATTAATTAAAATAAGAGTACAATTTTCTTCCTTTGTAAGTAGCAAAAACTTACAAGTTAAAATAAAAATCTAAAGATCATTATGTGTGATGTATCACTTTCTAAGTTTATTTTCAAGAGATCTCAATATTTTTCTAAAAAGAGAGAAACAAGAATGTTTTTTCCAAATTATTTTCAGCTTTCAAGTTAGTAAAACGGACAAAAATTACATTCTTTCTGATGTTAGTCTTATGCCACTTCTTAAAACATTTTAAGGCCTCAAAAAAACTCCTGCCATCCCTTCTAATCAAAATACTACAGAAACTGATTTTATATAGTTTATTTTACAAAATCAATTTTTGTATAACATACTTAAAATGGAAGTATTGTACCAGTTATTACCACTTACATTAAAAAAAAACTTCACACTGAGTTTAACGAATGTACACATCACTCAAAACTGCAATACATCCCATTTATGCTGCTTCCAATCAAGTACCAACTCAGCCTCTAACTCAAAAACTAAAGAAAGGGGATGTCTGGGGATAACTTTTGCTTTTAAAACATGATCTGGTAGGGGACAGAGAGATAATAAATTCTGAATTATAACACCGGATTCCTCCACTTGCTTGAACGAAATGAGAACCCATCTTGCACTGGAAGCGAGTGGTCTCTTTTCATTAAAGTTTAATTTTAATTTAATTAAATTTAACTAAATTTATTTTAATTTAATTAAAATTTATTTTAATTTAATTAAAATTTATTTTAATTTAATTTAATTTAATTAAAATTAAAATTTTCATTAAAATTATCATTAAAAATAAGACAAAGTTGATAAGAAGATAATTATACCTTACCTTGAGCATGCCCACCCAGATCAAAAGTGGTAAAAGTCATGCCAGCAATGGTCAATTCTTCTGATGCTAAACAACAAATATTTTATAAATATCATATTGTACCATAGATTTATGACCTGCTCCACTACTTAATGGTTAAAGAAATGAATCTTAAATATTTAAGAGCTAAACAAAATAATAAAAACCTACTTTATTTTTAGTTAACCTTACTTTTATCTTTTCACCTTGTCAAGAGCAGGACTCCATGTTAGAATGGAGAATAGAAAAGTTGTTCATTTGTGAATTTAGCATATTTATCCCTAATTTTTTCCTCCTCTCTTCCTCCTGCTACAAATCACCCTAATCGTACAATTTCTTGTTCAGTTTATCTTAAATGATACCAATAAAATAATCTATTTCTCTAATGATGACTATCTTTTATAGGGAAGACAAATATTGCTTCACATCAAAGTTCAGCATTACTAACACAATTATTCTCCAAAACTCAATTAATGACCTATAATCAGTATTTTACTGATCTTTTTAAAAAATTCCTTGCCAACATTATTCCAGTAAAATAAATGTGCTCTGTAATCTCTATGTTAAGAGATATTCTCAAAGGAAAAAAATAATGTGGACTTATTAGTAACTATCTGCTTTCTAGCAAAAAGATAAAACTAGGTGTCCACCATATTTTGTCACTGTCTTAGGATAGTATATAGTGTTGCTACCTACAGCAACCTCTCATAAGGCCCTATCACACTTAAGTTGACAATGAGGTTTAGTATTTCCCCCTGGATTTGTAGAAAGAGAGGATATTGTACAACTCAACACCTTGACACATATCAGCTACTTTCCTGTTATCTCCTCAACTCCTTCCATACTACAATGAAAACTGGGCTATAAAGTGGCAGAGCAGCATATATGAATTATGTAGAAAGAAGAGGGGAGAGAAAAAGGAGTGAACTCCTCTTTGGTTCTTCCGAAGAAAGACAATTTCAGAAAATCTTACTTAGGTGGCAAAAAGGATGGAATAAATAGCCACAGCATGATGGAATTAGGCAGAACTCAGCTTACTTCAATATTTTTGGTTCTTTCCCAAATCTTTTCTACAATATTCTTGGTTGTATGAACATTAACTGCATCTAAGTAATTACACTGATGTAGTTATTGGTATTGTTCCACTTTCACCCAGTTTCATACTGAAAGGATTAAAGCAATATACCTGGCGTTACACAATGATTGTGTGGCATAATTTATCTTTGAACTATGTACCATTCTTGTCCATGGTCCTTCACTAAAGATACTAAGGCACGGAGCATCTGTTTGTTCGATTATATTTTGAGTGATGTCATCACTGAATGTTACTTTATATTATGAAATAAGCCTTACGACCTCATATACATGACACGGTATGGTAACTGATCTCCACATTAGAGGAAAGGGCTTGGACTTCCAGATCTGGAGATCCGGGCACGAGTCACAGACAGCTCTGCTACTTACCAACTATATGACCTCAGGCAAGTTACTCCACCTATCTGAATATCGTTTTCTTCATATATAAAATGGAAAAAAATAATACTGCCCTGCTAATTTAGGTACAAGTTTTGCTAGAAAATATAAAATTATTTTGTAAGCTATAGAACAACTATAATTTATAAAACAATTGTAAGCTATAAAAGAACTCAGCCATTCAAAACAGACAACATTGTAAATTCACTTATTTTAAAAATGTGTTTAAAAATTCCATAAAAATAATAATTGACATTTACACATTTAAGGTAATTTAAGGTTTGAAAGAAAAGTATTTTATACTTTTATACATAGATATACAATATTATTATAATTATGCATTATTTCACGTGATCCTCAACAGCCGTTAGGTAAGAACCACATGTATAATGTCTCCATTTTACAAATGAGAAAACTGAGGATGCAGGAGACTATGACTTACCCAGGGTTACTTAGCTAGTGAATCTATCAGGCAGGATCTGAAGCCAGGTCTTCCTAACTCCAAGTCCAGCACTCTATCCACTATGTCATATGGCCTCATCATCACACTGTCTAAAAACTCTTCTGAACCAAAAATCATTATGATTATGACAGTGAAGAAACTGGCACTGGTTAGTAATTCATAATGACAATTCATAATAACTTAATAGCTAAGGATGTTACTCCAACTATCCAGCTACTGTAGGCTATAGTTCATTAGTTCAGCTATACTATTTGGACCCTGGATAATAACTACTAGGTGACCTAGAAGCCCTGAGAACACAGGAGACAGAAACCTTTAATTAATTATTTTAGTTGCAGAGTGGTATTAACTGACAGAATGGATTTCTATTCCATCAAAATCATACCCAACTCCCTATGAACAGGCTCAACATATTTATCATATGCTAAGTTATAACACTGTGATAAGAACTGAACCACATCGTTTCTAAAATGTCAGGTAGTAAAGGACCTTCACTTACTGGGATGTAATGTAGGTACATGTTGTCCAAGCCTGTCATCTTTTAACATATGTAGTAGTGTTGTTTTTCCAGCATTGTCCAATCCAAGAAATACTAATTTACCAGATTTCTTGTACAGTCCTGCAGAGAAATCACAGTTGGCAAAACTGATAGTAAGTCTACATATGTATCTACAAGAGTCAGTTTTTCTTCTTTTATTCACAGCTATCAAGTTTTTAGCTAGCTAAAATAATTAACTTCTTTTTCTGTTCAATAAACTTCTATACACTCAAAAAAGCAGAAAAGATATTTCCACAACTCCTTATATATTTGTGATTTCCAAAGTAATCTTTCATTACTAAATCTATTCTCAGTTTTAAAATAACCGTATTTTAAAACCTAGACACACAAATCTATTCCCTGTCTTACATGTAATAAAGCAAAGCAAAAAGGGAAAAAAAAATGAGGCTTTATCACACTAATGTATGATTAGCAGAATAAAAGTTGGGCTGAGATTTTTAAGAAAAAGAGTCAGAAAGTGCAGTGTTAAATTCTCCTGTGAGTATGATCAAATCTTTCATTATGAGACACATATAATTATGAAATCAAAAAATCAAGCTATTAATTTGAGAAATTTCAGCTAAATGTGAAAAGAGTAGAAAATATAATTCAATAATTTATGGCTGATCACCATATAATTCCTATAATCAGGTATGTGAACATTCTAGAGTACTGAGCAATTACAGTCTTGAATAACCTATTTGCTAATCATGAATAATTTCATGCAAAATTTTACAATTTCCAGGTCTTGTTCCATAGAATATTTTTAGGAAATGTGACTGTGTCCAAGATTTCCCCCAGTCACCTGCAAACTAGCAAATTTTTGATAATGGCATACTAGACTTGGGAACCAGGAAAACCTGAATTCGAATCCTGCCTCAAACACTCACTAGCTATAACAGCAAGTCACTTTTAACTTGAACCTGTTTCTTCATCTGTAAAATTGGAATAATAGCACCTACCTCACAGTGTTGTTTAGAGAATCAAAATCAAATGAGATACTATATGTAAAGTACTTTGCAAACACTAAAAAGCAGTATCAATGTTAACCTATTATTATTACTATCAAAGGCTTCAAGTTACAATTCCCAGCTGTCTGCCTCATAAAAATATGGATTGTGTTCAATTTTAGAAGCCTCAGTTTATGAAGAATATTGATCAACTGGAGAGAATACAGAAGAGGGATATCTCTATATGGCATAAGGACTGCATTCTGATGCAGTTTGGTTGAAGGAACTGGGTATGTGGAGCCTGGTGAAGAGAAGACTCAGGAAGGACATGATAGTTATTTTCAAATATCTGAAGGATTGTCATGTAGAAAAGGTATTAGACTTATTCTGTTTGCTCCCAGAGGGCAGAACGAAGGCTTATATTCTCCAGGCTTAGAGGATCAAGACTTTATATACTTTCTTCTTTATCTTATTTTATATTATAGAATACACGATATTTTACATCAGTACAAAACCAAATGGCAAAAAAATCATAACTCAAAAATAAACTATGGCTAAATTGGGGAGATTAAGAAAGGTACAGTTCAACCAGAAGTCAGGAAACCTGGATCTAGTCCCTGACCTGCTACTAACTCATTTATTACATGATCTCTGATAAGTCTAAGTCCTTTTCTTTCCACTCCAGCTCTCAAATTTGTCCTCAATACAATGGGCTGGCTAGATTGCATAATTCAGCACTAATGATCTGCTTTAATATAGTCAACAAAGTATGGGTCAAAATAGAATTGAGTTATACTTCGGAAAACTTGGAAAAGCTATGTTTTGAAAAAGAATCATGGGACTAGTGTGTGAAAGGCCAAGGAGGTGACTGGGATGTCAAGTGTATTGGCATCACTAAAGCAAACGCTTCCAGTTGGCAAGTAATAGGGCAAAGGGAATTCCTGATCAGGTGTGGCTGGCACTAGGTACTCTTTCCACCTCAGATTCTGTATCAGATTTGAGTCCTACCTCTGCCACTTATTTGCCACGTGACTACCGACAACTCACTTCACTTCTCACCATCTTGGTAACAAGGTCACTGTTATACATGTGCTGCCTAGTCATAGGGTAACTACAATTGTGAGGTTCATGTGAGGCTATAATGGAAAAATAGCTGAATTTGGAGTTAAAGGACCTGCCTTTGAACTCTGAATCTGCTACTTACTATCTGTATGACCCTGGGAGGATAAAGGGGAGGAAATAGGGGGGGATGTTTTCACTTCTCTGGACTTCAGTTTTCTTATCTATAAATTGAATGGACTGGACTAAACAACTTCTAAGTTCCCCTACAGTTCTACATCCATGATCCTATCATTTGAACTGAAAGAGGCAACTAAGTATAGTAAAAAAAGTACTGCATCTGGAGTGAGAAGAGTTGGGCTTAAACTCCAACTCTAATACATACTGCCTGTATGAACCTGGAGCAAATTCAGTTAACCTCTCTGAAATAAGTTTTTCCTTCTTTATAAAATGATAGCACTTTGAGCTCTAAATTCTGTCTTAATATTTCTTTTAACATTTGGTCTTTTAGTAAAATGCTTTATATAAAGATCATCTACATTAATGCCATTAGCATTACTATCCCCAGGTAAAATGGTAAATATAGATGATGAAATTCTAAAAGAGTTTCTAGAATTTTTAAAATATAATCTTTTAATGGCTGAATGATGCTTATATGTAACTGATGGCCCAATTATTTCAAGTAACATTTTACTAACAGATCTAAAATTATATAACCTACGACGGGAATCAAAAAACCTATATTCTAAATTTCAGCTCTGGCACTAGGTACATGGCCTGAAACAGGACACTTTTTTTCCCTGGCCTGAGTTTCCTCCTCTGTCAAATGAAGGGGTTGATCTCTGAGATCCTTTCCAGTTTTAAGACTCAAGGATTCTATGCTCTACTAAAACAAAATTTCAATAGGATAAAAAAAATTTAAGATAGTTTTTTGTAGTCATCTTTGTAGGATTTGGTATCTGACCTATGGTATAACACTATGCCACATATAATGCACATTTATTTTAAAATAAAACAAAAAGCTACTGGTTTCTATATGTCTCAGAATATAGAAGTTCAACACAGTAATAAAAATGCAATAACTAAAAGTTTTTCTTCATACCTTTTTACTACTTTAATCCAAGTCTCAGCACTTACAACCCAATTTGAATCATTTAACCAATGCATTGTTTGTGAAAGAAGAAAAATATTTATAATGAAGATGAAATTACTCTGAGAATTGTTATAGTCTATTAAATATCACTCATTTTGCCAGCTAATTATGAGATAAATAGGTCACAAAAACCAAATTTAGGATATAATTTGAACCTCTGAAGGAGACAGGAACACTCTCAGATGTAGATTGTTACAATATTAAAATTAGGAATAATCTCCACTAAGTTTTGTTTTTTTCAATGAATCAAAATAATTTAAATTTCACAGAAAAGTCAAAGCTTAAGCAAAAAATAAAACAAAAGTTTAAGGCACAGAATGAAGCTGGTTAAAAAGAAGTGTCACTGATCAGCACAACTAAGCAAGCAAGCCTTATTCAACAACTCATATTTTTTATAATTAAGGTACACTGTGAAATTATCCACTTATATGTTAGTTAACTTTCATCAACAGAGATCAGAAAAGGTGAATAATAGCAGGCAAGAAAGAAAGAGGTCAACATTACCTAAAAACTGCAGTACACTGCTGAAACCACTATAAATCCAGTCGAATATGAAGGACATATCCAAATTTTAAAGGGTCTGAAAAACAAATTTTGAGTTTTAGTAATATTAATATATTTATTTTTAAACACCAACATCACCACCATTTCATGTAAAATAGATTGAGGATAATCCTAAAATCTATACCAGTGTACAGTGATTGAATGAATTATTTACAAGTCAGTGGTGCAAATATACCTTATGTAGTAGAATGTTCAAGGGAGGGTCAGACTACCTCAAAACAGTCTGCAGAGGAATTCAGTATATGATTGGACTGAGTGAATGAGAGTAACAACAAACCGAAATTATCATAAAATTAACTATAAAAATTTTCCAATAATTATGTACGTATTTGGAATATCTAAACCATGGTAGTCATATATATGAGACTGGTTATACAGGTATGTGATCTATGGATATGATTAGAAGTAACTATGCATACATACACACACACACACACACACACACACACATACACACAGAGTGCCTCCCGTATTCCTCACTCTTTCATGAAAGTAGGAGTTTCAAAATTCATCAGCAGAATTCCAGCTCCGGAAGGTTCTATCAAGCTGGAAAAGCTTTGAGTGGATGGATTCTATGTGGGTCTGCTGAGGACCAGCCTAGATAAATCTACTAAATTATGGAGGAGTGGTAGTCTATATGGATAAAGGCATAACCACAACCATGAAATGACAGATCTTTGAAATACTGGGTGTGTGTTTGGGGGGGGGGGTGTAAATGTAAATAAAAGTGTTTCTAACCTACTTCACAAGTCTATCATTCTATCTTTTTAAAAAAGTTTATCATTCTCCTACAAATGTTCGAGGTGTAAAAAATAGTATAATTATTTTCCTTTTCCTTAAAACCTTTATTTTTAATCAATTAACATGCATTTATTACTTATTATGGACCAGACACTGTACTAGGCACTAGAGCTACAAAGACAATAGCAACTGGCCTCAAAGAACTTACAATCTAACCACGGGAGACAACATATAAATATATAATATATACAAACAGATACAAAATAGATACAAGATATGAGCTGGGAAGGAAATTAAGACTCTAAGGGGTTGAGGTGGAGAAAGAGAAATTTCAGGCAAAGTAGATTAGCCAATAGAAAGGTACAGAGATAATCAATCAACAAGTATCTATTAAGTACCTACTATGTGCCAGGAATATGTTGTTCATATTAAGTTTGAGCCCTATCAAACTACTAGAATAGCACTAAAAGATTCCCTTTTCTGATTGATTTCCTTGAGAAGACAGACTTTTATTAGCCCTAAGTGCAGTTGGTTAGTTGAATTCTAAATTGATTTTCTATACTGCTTAAAGCCCAGAAAAAAATAAGGCTCTTGCTCTTGGATTCCAAATGTACAAAGGTCTCTATTTTATGGCGAATTTAGTTGAAAAACAACAGATAAGAGCTAAAGAAAGGGTCATAGTCCCACCTGAGTCATACTCATTGACCCTTCATCTTATCCCTAAGCAACAATAAACACCAATCAATAAAAGTTTCCACTTAAGACTATCCAGTCTTCTACTTACATCAAAATAGAAAAGCTTTGAGAACCTTGTTATTAAAGAGATAGTTGTTGAACTGAAATGAACTGAGATGTCATGGTATAAAAACTTGGAATGTAGATATTTTTGGATAGGATTTCGTTTATAGATTAGCAAGATCAGAAATAACATAGTTCAAATTACAAATCATGAACAATAATTGACCAGTATTAGTTCCCACAAGGAAGGAGGAAGAAAATGAATAATAAAAATTTTAAGAAAATGATCTCACATTAGCTCAGAGAAAGGTCAACATGAGTCTCTGATGCTTTGTTTTTGAAAGTAATTTTAAGCACATGGAATCTGACGTGATCATTTACATTTACATTGTTATTTACAGAGCCAAAGAAGGATGTGGCATTAGTTAAGTTATCTAGTTGGAAAATAATACAAAGTTATTTAGTTTGATACTCAAACAGATGGTGATCTCACCAACATTGGTACCAATGCAAATCACAACTCCTCCAAACATCTTCAACTGGGCCCTCACTTTGGCAAGGCAATCTTTTACACCTCCCTAACTTGTTCACCTTCATGCCCTTGCTAAACAGACCCTACACTTACTAATGTTTCAAATTCTAAGAGAGCAAATATCCTCTTGGAATTCAAGAGGAACACCTCAGCAATCCATTTCATTTTACTCCCCTATTCTACCAATGAGAAACTGAGTTCCAGGAAAACTAAGTGAATCCAAGGTGGACACAGGTGGTAAATAGCAGAGACTAAATTAAACTCAGGTATTTGGGCTCAAAATCTAATGTTCTTCCACTATACTCTGCTGCCTTCTAGATTTACAATGCTTCTTAAACTGTGGGTCATGACCCTAGTCCCACAACCCTCTACAAGAAGCAAACATCCTTTTCAAAACCTTCATTCTTTTCCACTTCTTAACAGTGGTTGGACATTTTAGGATAAAGTTTGGTACTGGAATACATAATTACTCAAAATTAAATTTTGTACTTTTCTTCTTAAAGTAAGTGTATTCAATTCTTAAAGTGATACTACTTTCTCACTAAGTTTTACCTAAGGGCATGAAGCTATAGGGTCTAAGTTGTAAAGCAGAAAATTTGAGGCCAGTCATAAAAAAACACATTCTAATGATCAGAAGTGTCCAAAAGTGGCTCCCAGGGGAAGTAGCAGGCTTCCCTTCAATGGAGGTTTGAAGAAAGGGGTCCTGTTCAGGTATAGGTTAAACAAGATGACCTCTGAGGTCCCTTCCACTTGAGATTCTATGATACCAAAACTTTAAAAAAACATTTTAAAAACAAAAATCCTACAAAACTACCCTTGAGTGGCAATGGGATGAGGTTTAGAGCAACAGTGAAGTGACCCCACACAAGTGAAACATACCAAAAGTCTAGGAAAAAAATATGTAAAAGCTTTCTGCTGATTGTCCTTTATCTTCTACATAGGGTCAATAAGGGTAGCTGCCCTAAAGCATATAGGTACTGAAACCTCTGAAGATTCTCTCTACCACATATCCATGAGAACAATTCAATAACAGGCAAGAGACTGGGGTGGCTAGGTGTCGCAGCAGATAAGAGCACTGGCCCTGAAGTCAGGAGGACCTCAGTTCAAATCCGGCCTCAGACACTAGACACTTCCTAGCTGTGTGACCCTGGGCAAGTCACTTAATTCTGTCTGCCTTGCCGCCCCCCCTCCCCCCAAAAAAAGAGGCAAGACACTTCCGGAAGCCAAGATGGTGTAACAAGCAGTATATCCCCGTAACTCTCCCACATTCACCTCCAAACCATAAAATAGCACCCCAACAAATCCTGAAACAACAGAACCAGTAAAAAGACAGGGTGAAACAATCTTTTAGCCCGAGAAACTTGGAAGATCAGCAAGAAAGGTCTGTCTCACTTAGGTAAAAGGAGAGCTCAGTCCAGGACAGGAAGCATCCCAGCAAGCCAGCAGTTAGCTCCACCTCAGCAAACCAGTGGGAGATCCTGAGTCCCAGTGCAGTGGAGCAGGCAAAAAACAATACCAGGACCCCCCTCAGGTCTCAACATAGCCAGAAGAATGGGCAGACTCCAGCTCTGAGAACCACCATGTGCTTCAGCATAGCCCCAGGCAAACAAGCAGCCTCCAGTGTGCTTCAATGTAGCCCTGGGGAAACACAGAAACATTCCACCAGCTTCAGCATATGCCAAATACCAGCACCAGATAAGTTGCCAGACCCCTATAGCCTCCAGCAATACCAGTCACCCCCCCATCCCACCCCTTCAGCACAGTACCAGACAGCAGGGTCCCCCATGGACCTCAGGGCAACATCAGCGCAGCACCGGGTAAACAGCCAGGGCCTGCAGCCCCTGACACAAGAAGCCTGAGATAGTGTCCCTTGCACCCCAGGAGCAAAGTTCAAATTTAAAAGAAACGAAAATAGTCAAAAATCATGAGCAAAGAAAAACAACAAAAAACAATCTGACCATAAAAAGATTATTATGGTGACATGGAAGATCAAGACACAAACTCAGAAGAAGACAACAATGCCACCTATGGGCAAAACCTCAAAGAGAAATGGAAAGTGTTCTCAAACCCAGAAAGAACTCATGGAAGAGTTCAAAAAGGAGCTTAAAAATCATATAAGAGAGGTAGAAGAAAAATTGGGAAAAGAAATGAGAGTGATGCAATAGAATTATGAAAAAATAGTAAAGAGCTTAGAAAAAGAAAAAAAAACTGCTTAAAAAGTAGAATTGGCCAAATGGAAAAGGAGATACAAAAATCCACTGAAGAAAACAACTCCCTAAAAAGTACAACTGCCAAATTGAAAAAGAAGTACAAAAGCTAACTGAGGAAAAAAAAACTCCTTAAAAGTTAAAATTGGTCTCAGCAAATACAAGGATCTAAGACAATTCCAAAAGACTCATGATGGAAAATGCTATTCACATCCAGAGAAAGAACTATGGAGTCTGACTGCAGATCGAAGCATTCCACTTTCTTTTTGTTTGTTTCTTCTTTTTCATGGTTTTTCCTTTTGGTTCTAATTCTTCTTTACAACATGAGTGAAGTAGAAATGTTTGATATGATTGTACATGTATAGCCAACATCAGATTGCATGCCATCTTGGGGAAGGGAAAATGGAGGAAAGGGGAGAAAATTCAGAACTCAAAATCTTGTAGAAGTAAATGCTGAAAACTAAAAACAAACAACTAAATTTTAAAAAATAAAAATAAAAAAATAAGGTGATAAAAAAGTTAGAATTGGGAAATGGAAGCTAATGTCTCTATGAGACATCAAGAATCAATCAAAATCAAAAGAATGAAAAAAATGGAAGAAATTGCAAAATACTTCACTGGAAAAACAAGTGACCTAGAAAATAGATCCAGGAGAGGCAATGTCAGAATCACTGAACCACCTGAAAGCCATAATCAAAAGGAAGACCTGGACAGTATCTTTCAAGAAATTATCAAGGAAAACTGCCCTGATATCCTGGAACTAGAGGGCAAAATAGGTGTTGAAAAAATCTGATTACC